CTGTGGGTAAGAGTCACCATACAAGTCCTCAACAAGGAAGTGAGGCTTAAGCCTGCCCTTGGAAACTAGGTAGGAAAAAGACAGGGGGAGAAGAAAAGGAAGGCATTCTAGTGTGGGGAGAAGGAAGAATAAGGGTGCAGAGCTGAGAAAGTGCAAGTCTTATTTGAAGAGAGAATGAGAAGCTCAAATTAGCTGGAGAAGAAAGGCTTGTACTGGGGAGGAATGGGAAATAAGGCTGAAAATTCTCTCTTTTATTTCTGACTTAAGGATTTCAACTTGTCTTGTAGACAGTGGGGAGCCATGAGAGAGTTTTAAGTAAGAGAGTGAAACTGTGAGAGCAGCGTTAGGGCTGACTAACCTGGTAGTATGCATTATATAGTATGCATTTGTGTGAGGAGAGACTAGATGCAAGAAAGACCCATTAGGAGGCTGTAACAGTCAGTCAGGGATACAGTGACAATAGTATTAGAATGGTACCATTGGGATCATAAAGGAAAGATGATTATAATCAACATGCTAACTAAAGAAAGGTCAGAATCTCCTGAAATAGAAGAATTGAAGTTACTCGAGTGTTTTGGGGAAAGAAGATGGCATGAAAAAAAAAAAATGATCAAAACAGGTAGGGAAACTGGTTTAGTAAGTTTTGACATCTTGGGTTGGAAGTAACAATGAAAGATCCAAATGAAACTGTCCGGTGGGCAATTGAAGATATAGAGGTGGAACTTGGGAGAAAGGACATGCTAGAATTGAGTGGGCGTGGCATAATGGAAGGAAGTCTTGGAGTCAGGGGACCTGGGGTCTAAGCCTAGTTCTTCCTTTCCTGCGAACTTACTAAGTAATGGGCAAGTCCTATCTCTTGGCCATTTTACTGCTCTGTAAAGTGAGGGGGTATCTAGGCCCTGGGAGATTTCTGAGGTACTCTCAAGGACTCTAAGTCAACTGAATTGTATTCGTGTGCACATATGTTCTCTCCAGGAGAAAATCAGGGGTCAGATGGGGGGGAGTTGGGGAGTGGATTAAATAATCCCCAAATGCTATGACTATGACAGATCTTGGATCTCTGTTTTCTTAGGTAGTAAAAAAGGAAAAGCCAGCAGAGAGAAAGGAAATAATAAGATAAGTAAAAGCAGGAGGAGAGAAAGGAGGAGAGAAATTTAAAGCCGGAGGATAAAATTAAAGGAACCAAAGGAATGAAAATTAAAAGCAAAATTTATAATAAATGGAAGAAATATGTGTATCAAATACGACAAAGGGTTAACATGTATGTTAAATAAAGAATACATTTAGATATATAAGATCACCAATATATATAAAACTACTCATGCCAACTGGTAAAGAATATAACCTATTCACACAAGAGGAAATACAAACAGTAAACATACTGAAAAGTCTCCTATCACATGAATAATCAAGGAAGTAAAGGTAAGGGGCTACTGGGTGGCTCAGTGGGTTAAAGCCTCTGCCTTCGGCTCAGGTCATAATCCCAAGGTCCTGGGATAGAGCCCTGCATCGGGCTCTCTGCTCAGCAGGGAACCTGCTTCCTCCTCTGTCTCTCTGCCTGCTTCTCTGCCTACTTGTGATCTCTGTCTGTCAAATAAATAAAATCTTTAAAAAAAAAAAAAAAGAAAGTGAAGTTAACAAATTAATGTGGGTTTTTTTTTTTGTTTTGGGTTTTTTTAAAGATTTTGTTTATTTATTTGACAGATAGAGAGAGAGCATGAGCACAGGCAGGGGGAGTAGCAGGCAGAGGGAGAAATAGACAGGAGAGGGAGAAGCAGTCTTTCCAATGAGCAAGGAGCCCGATGTAAGGCTCCATCCCAGGACCCTGGGATCATGACCTGAGCTGAAGGCAGATGCTTAACCAACTGAGCCACCCAGGTGCCCCCACAAATTAATGTTTCAAGCCATCTAAACAGATTCCTTATGAAGTCCAATGCTAGAGCTGCAAAGAAGATGGAACTCTTGCATACCATTGTGGCCTTGAAAATTTGTACAGTCTTTTTGGAAATCAAGATCCATAAAAAATGTTTATATACTTTGACCTGGTAATCCCACTCCTGGGAACTTGTCCTAGGAACAGAATTGTAAGGAAGAAAAAAGTCATATGCATTAAGATGTTCAAAGCCCAGAAAAATTGGGAGTTGACGAAATGTCCAATAGTAGAGGAATGGTCAAATAAAATATAATCTACTAATGGATATAATTTTATGTGGCTATTGAAATGATAAATATGAAAGACTATAGCACAAGAATAGTATTTACAATAAAAGTTTCTTAAAGCAAAATTCTAAAATATATGTACACTGTGATTGCACTTCCATAAAATATAAGTATTATGCAGTATGAAAAATCATGGAACATAGATAAATGAAAACAATTGTCTGGGGTTTGGAAGTGCAGGTGAACATATTCTTTCAAAATCTCCTTTAATGTTGTCATAGTGGAATTTTTAAATATTGTTTTCATTTAAAAAATTTAAGCAAGGTATGCAACAGGGTAACATGATCTAGAGATAGTCAAAGAGGATGAATATAGAGAAAATATCATTAAAGATCTTGCTTTTGAAGTAATTTGTGTTCTTCCAGGTACAGAAGGAAACCAGGTTCAGAGAGTTAAAAGGTGACTTTATAGTGATGAAATGGGGTTATGGGGTTATGGTACTTTTTCTGGAAGTTTGACAGTGAAATGAATAAGTTGACTAGAATGTTAGCTACAAGAGACAGCAGGGTCATGGTATCGGTGATACTGTTTTATTTTTGTTTGGTTGGGTTTTGTTGTGTGTGTTTTTTTAAAAGATGGTGTGAAATCAGTTATGGAAAGACTGAAAATAATGAAAAGGGATAAACAAATGAACAAGTAAGAAGGCCACCTCTTATTTTGGGTCTACAGGGAAGAAAGACAAGATGGATATAACAGTAGAGTGATCATGAATGAAGCAGAAAGAGGTTGAGGTATTAGATCGTCTCAGTTTTATAGGAGGCAAGGTAACTCTTAGAAGGTCATAGGGTAGCTTGGAGTTAGAGTCTTGATAAGGTGGAAAAGACAGAAAACACTTGCTCTGGAATGTCCACTAGGAGCTGAGCAAGCTAATAAAAATTGAGGCCTAGATGAAGTTACAAGACAGGAAGTTTCAGTGGGTCAAAACAGCCTTGTGCTCTGTTTTCATCTGCAATCCCCTTCAGTCTAAGAGAAAGGGAAAAATTGGCTAAAGGTGAGACTCAAGGTGTTTAGCCAAAGTTAGAGTGTGAAGGAAGACAGCCTTAAAGTAGCAGACCGCAAAGTCTGGGCAGTGAGTCTTGATAATGGGTGAAATGAGTCTTGATATGGGTTAAATGGACTTGTGAAATAGAAGAGGTTGGGTCAGTTGTGATGGAGAAAGCAGCTTTACTTGGTGGGGCCGGTGGATAGGAGAGGTAGGTGATGGACAAGGAGGCTGTGGTCATAGAAATTAAAGGGAGAGAGTACAGATGAAAAATAGGATATGTAACAGTCTAAGAAGTGGCTATGGCACTGGGAAACTTGTAGAAAAAAGGCCTGTACATTTACTGCTAATGGAGTAGTAGGTAGGAGTCCTAGGTAGCAAGCAGGGAGAGGGAGCACATGCAAGGATGCAAAGGGGAACATGGGAGCATCAGAGTCATTTTTTCCTGAAGACTAACCTCAGCCTTACTCTCCAGAGAGACCCCTTAGATGACAGTAGACAAGGAAGAGATCAGAGACAGGTCAGCAAGAGTGGGACAAAAGAAAATGAAGGCTGGAGACTCAGGAGACCAGTGGCTAGAAGGCAATTTCAGAGGGGGGTGCCTGAAAGGGTAAGCCCACCCTTCTGATGAACACCTGCCTAGACACTCTTACTTCCTAGGCCTGGAAGTTAGCTGCCCAAGTTCCATACCTATTCCTGACTCCTGTAAGCCCAGAAGTAGTAGGACAGTGCTGGGGAGGAGTGATTGCATGCAAGAATGTCAGGGGACCTGTCTTCGTCCCCATGCTCTGTCTGCCCTGGCGTTGAAGCCCTAAAGCATGATCTGAAAGAGTTGGTGACAGATTTATTATTCACCTAGGTCAGGAGCCAGAGAAAGGGGAGAGACCAGGGAAGAACCAGCTCTGGGCGTCAGTCCCTGTCACCGCCCCAAACTCTGTACAAACCTGCTCTACCCCCCTCAGTGCTGGAACTTACGGCCACAAACATGAGAGCTCCCCCCTCTTTCTTTCCAAGCCATCGGCTGTTCTTCTCATTTAGTACAGGGGAACTGTCAACTATGTTCCCAGCAAACATCATAAAGGAGGTCCTGTTCCAAAGGCCAACATCAGCTTGGACCCCGCCCCTTGAGGCAGGTTATCCACCCCATGGTAAGATGCAGCGCTGTACACCAGTTCAACAGCGCCATGCGTCCAGCTGCTCGCGGGCACCCTGGCCTGCAGGCTGTCTGGGATTGAGCTGTATTTCAACACTTCAGTACGCAAGACCATCCTGTCTGAGAGGAACCCAGGAAGAGGGTGTGGGCACTATGGATGTCCCAACCTTGGCATCTGTGCTAAGCCGGTGCTCCCACTTCCCGTTGCTGGCTATCGCCGTCAGATAAATCAGACCAATCCCGAGATCGCCCCCCAGCTTCTCCACCTCTTCAGTCTATTGCGCGGGTCTGGCTGAAGGAACACAGGCTATACAAAGGTGCATGGGGGAAAAAGGACTGCATGAGGATTTTAGGAAACCTTGTAGGCTCAAGGGAGACAGGACTGATGGCCCCAGGAAGGAGACAGAGGCAAAGAGAAAGAAGAGTGGCTGTTACTGCCTTTGGCCAAAAAGGAGAGGGCAGCTGAAAGGGTTATGAGAGATGGGGTCACACATGATATCCCTGGTTCCTCTTAATCCTCAGGGTGTGGGCCTCTCTCTGGAATCTGGGAAAGAGGAAGGAGCAGCCATATTGGGTGTAAATATCAAATTCCCTCACCTCTGCCCTGCACGCACCCTTTTTCCTCTCACTTCCTGGCTCCTAGGACTACGATCTATCTGCCCCAGGGGCAGGGAAGCCACGGTGCCTCTGGGTGGATGTCCACCTGCAGCTGCTTTCCTCAGCCAGGGACACCAGAGCCAGGGTGGAGGCCGTGGTGGGGGGCTGAGGCTCCCCACACCTGCACAGCTGCCAGAGCTGACGACGATACTTGTCCCCCGTGAGCAGGTAGAGCACGGGATCCAGGCAGCTGTTGGCGCTGGCCAGAGGCCGAGTCACTTTGTAGACCACATTGACAATGTTCAGCACCCGGCAGTCGGCTTCCAGCAGCCTTGACATGTAATAAATGGTGCGGGTGACGTGGAAGGGCACGAAGCAGACAGCGAAGACAGTCAGCACCACAGCGATGGTGCGGAGAGAACGCAGACGCGAGGATGACTGGGCGGCCCCTGGCAAGGGCCGATACAGGCGCCGGGCCATGAGCCCATAGCAGACAAGAGTGACCAGGCAGGGCACGCCAAACAGCAGCCCCATGATGGCTGAGCTGAAGTGCACGTAGTGGTCAAACTCCTCGGGCCGAGTGGTGTCGTGGCACAGGATGGTGTCCTTCTTGGGGCTGGTGGTGACGAAGAACAGGTTGGGCACAAGGCAGCCAGCCACGACCAACCAAACAGCCAGGCAGAGAAGGCCCGCGAAGCGCGGGCGGCCCCAGCGCAGGGCCCGAAGTGGGTGGCAGATCCCCAGGTAGCGGTGCATGCTGATGCAGGTAAGGAAGAGGACGCTGCAGTAGAGGTTCCAGTAGAAGAGGAAGCGGATGAACTTGCAGAGCCCCGTGCCAAAGGGCCAGTGGTTGCGGGCCGCATAATAGTAGATGAGGGTGGGCAGTGACAGCACATACAAAGTGTCTGACAAGGCCAAGTGGAACATGTAGGTGGCCGTAGCATCCCAGGGTCGGAGGCGAAAGAGGAAGACCCAGAGGGTCAGGGTGTTGAGGCCCAGGCCCAACAGGAAAACGACTGTGTAGCTCACGGGCAGCAGGATGAACTTGAACTCTTCATTGAAACTGCAGTCCAGCTCTCCCTGGCTGTCGCCAGGATCTGGGCTGGGACCTAGGGTTGTAAGCAGAGAGGACTCTGCACCGGCCATGGTCCCCCTAGAGGTGGAAAGGGGAGAAGTGAGGACAGCTGGGTTTTCCTGGCCTCCCAACCCTGACCTGAAGCCAAACAGCCGAGAACGGGGAGAGCCGTGACCGAAGCACGAGGAGTAGCTGACAGGAGTATATCCAGGAGCAACCCGGGCCAGGCTGGCCCCTGCTGGAGCCCCCTTGGTCCAGCCTGTGGCAGTGCTGGTGCCCAGCAGGGCAGGCTGGGAGTTTGGGCTGTTCTCATCCTGCCACTGACTCTGTCCTTCAGATCTTGGCTAGCCGGAAGGGCGGGACCATCCAACTGGCGAAGATGGCCGGACCCAAATTGTCTCCTAGCCCATGACATTTCTCCACATGGTGACTTTACCTATCCCCTCACCCAGGTCCCAGTGTCTCCACACTACAGTTCCTTTTTTGATGCCTTCCCCCAGCCTGGTCCAGCCCAGGAGCCCCATCACCACCCTCACCAAAGAAACTTGGCATGTCTCCTACCTGGTCCCCTTGAAGCTGAGCCCAGCTGACTCTGTCACCTTTCCCTTTGGCAGCCAGAGGGCATATCCAAGAGGGCGGGTTTGGGGGTGGGGCCTATTCCCTCCTCCTGGCCTGGGAAATCATCAGAGCTAGAAAGGTCCATCGAGATTATCTAGTCCAACCCACTCACTCTATAGATTGAGAAACTGGGGCCCGGTGAGATTACTATTTAACAATTTCTAAATGACTATAGGACAGAGTACACAAGGAAACATCCAAGTTCACAGATGGAGAGCCAGGCCGCAGGGGACTAAAGCTACAGGGAGATCATACAAATCTGTGTAAGCGAGCAGAAACACGGGAAGTGAATGAATGCTAACATAGGCAGAAATGCCAGATAACACACAGAAAGATTTTAGGAAAGCCATAGTACTAATATAAATCTTCAGTCTGTGTGCATATAATTATAAAAATGCTTATGTATCACATACTATGTGCAAGGCACTATTCTAAGTGCTTTACACTTATTGATGGCCCCACAGGTTCTTTAGAAGCACAATTAATCTCCCTACTTTGCCGATGAGAAAACTAAGGCACAGAGAATTTATTCTGCTATTTAGTGGTAGAGTCAAGATTTGAATCAAGGCAGGCCTGCCTTTGATCCAGGCTCTAACTCTATGTTCTTATTTTTTTTTAAGATTTTATTTTCTTATTTGACAAAGAGAGAGACAGCAAGAGAGGGAACACAAGCAGGGGGAGAGGCAGAGGAGAAGCAGATTCCCCCACTCCCACTGAGCAGGGAGCCCAACACGGGGCTCCATCCCAGGACCTCGGGATCACAACCCAAGCCAAAGGCAGATGCTTAACCATTGACCCACCCAGGCGTCTCTCATCTGTGTACTTAATTGCTATGTGTAGTTGCCCCTCTGAAGCCACTGGCCATAATCCAGGAAAAAGATAAGCAAATGTTTACTGAGAGCCCACTGTGTGCTTGGTCCTGTTCTAGGTACTGGTAGTTCACTAGGAATGAAGAAAAGAGAAAAACTCTCATTCTAATGGAGCTCACATACTAGTGGGAGGGAAAAGAAAAGAAAATTAACAAGTAAAATATATAGATTGTAATCACTGCTATGGAGAAAAAGGTGGAAAGGGGAATAGAGAAGAAGAGACATGGGAATAGAGAAGGTTGCTTCTTTAAATATTAGGGTGGCTTCGGGTAAAGAGCAGGTGGTTGGGAGGAAGGGGAAATGTAGAGAGGGTGTCAGACAGTTTGGCAGGGACCAGATCACGAAGGTCCTTGGAAACCATTGTGAAGATTGTTTAGCTTTTACTTTCAAAGAATGGGAAGCCATTGAGGGTTTAGAAGGGACAAGTGTCAGGGTCTAATTTATATATTTTTAAAAGATTTTATTTATTTATTTTAGAGAGAGATGGAGAGAGAGAGTGAGAGCACGGGTGGGGTGTGGCAGACACAGAGGGAAAGAGAAACTCGGATTCCCCGCTGAGCGCAGAGCCGGTCCCAGGGCTCGTTCCCACGACCCCCAAGATCACAACCCAAGCGGAAACCAAGAGTCCGACGCGCCCAACCGACTGTGCTCCCCCGCCCCCAGGTGCCCCCTGATTTGTACTTTTGAAGGGTTACCGGCTAGCTCTATGTTGAGAATAGATTGCAAGACTGGGGGAACAAGAGGAAGATAAACCCAGGAGCTATTGCCAATGAATGATGGTGACTTGGACCAGAGGGGCAAAAGTGATGGGCAGTGGTCCGATGCTGGCTAGATTTTGAAAGTAAAGGCAGCACAATTTACTGACGTGGGCTGTGCAAGAAAGAGAGGAGTCCGGAACGACTCCAAGATTTGTAGCCTGAGCAACTGGAGGAATTGGGTGACTGTTCACAGAGATGGGAAAAGCTGTGAGAGAAGCAGGTTTGAGGGAAAACTGGGGGTTTGTTTTTCAGCCTGTCAATTTCAAGAGGTCTATTGCACTTGTGAGAGGAGGAGGAGAGGAGACAGTTCCCTCCTCCCCAAGGTTGCTAGCTGACAGACCTTCCTGAAAGGCCCCACCCCATCCTACACACCACCTCTCATCTCTCTCTACCACTCCAGGAGACTCCAGTCTGAATATAGCAGAGAAAGTACAGAAACCAAACCTAGATGTTTGAGTGCTAAGTGCCAGACAATGCCAACTTGTTGGGAGCTCTGGATCTGGGGCTCCTGGGGCTAACTAAGGTGCCAGGATTGTGGGAATCTTCGGCAGAGGGGGCACACTTTGGGCCTGGAGGACTCTGGGGGTGAGGCAACTAGTGCTTTTGGGGAGGGAAGGGCAGTCTGGGCAGAATCCACGCTTCAGGGAACTGGAAGCAATGGGGACTCTGAACCTGATCTTCAGGTTACCAAGCTGGATTCCGGGAGTGAGAGGAGGCGGTAGGTCTGCGAGGGAGACTCTAGAATCTGGGATCTAGATCTCCTGGAGGCCCAGAAACCTGGATAGGGGAAACTTGGAGATACTTGCCGCATGGCAGGGTGGGGGTAGCTAAAAGGGAGACATGGAGGAAGCAGTCTGAGCCTGAGCCCTGAACAGCAGGCTGCTGGGATATTGGATAAGAGGCCCAGATGTTGGAGCCAGACAGACACGAATTCAAATCCTTGTTTTCCCAGGCATTAGTTGTGTGATGCTGGACACCTCTTTGTAACTATGTTTTCTCCCTGGTGAAATGGACATAATAACACCAACCCTTCAGGGTTTCCTGAATATTGAATTGGTCAATAGGTGTGAACACACATCGTAAATCACAAGGTATTTTGCATTATTCCTTTGCACTTAGTGATGAAGCTGATCTCTTTGGAGGAGAACACGTGTGATTCGAGGTTTGGCATAAACCCAAGAGTTCACGCCAGCATCCTCCACACTAGAGAAGCTCCTGCTGCTAGGTTTCTGCTAGTCCCTGGACGAAGCTCCAGCTGTCACTGCTGCCACCGCCGCCCAGTGGCTACTTCAGGAAAGGACCTCGCCCAGCACCGCCTGGACCAAAAGGATTTGTGCCTTAGGAAATGCTGCAGGCCAGATCTGCTGGCTTCTGTGACACTCTTCCTCACTTTTGTTTCTGTGATTTTGCATTACTCTGGTTCTCCTACTCCTCTGGACGCCCCTTCTGACCTCTTCACTGGCTCCTTTTTGTCCTCCTTCCTCCGAAAGTGACCTTTCCCCAAGGCTTATCCCTAGAGCTTTTTCTCTTCTGTCCTTTCTTCCCCCACTTCCTTCTCCCCAACCTCTTCCTCACTCTATCATTTCTCTTTCCTGATCTCTCTCTTTCTCTCTCTCATGCTTAAAAAAAAAGAGATTTCATTTATTTGACAGAGAGGAATATAGCAAGACAAGGAAGACAAACAGGGGGAGTGGGAGAAGGAGAAGCAGGCTCCCCACTGAGCAGGGAGCCCGATGCTGGACTCTATCCCAGGACCCTGGGATCATGACCTGAGCTAAAGGCAGCCATTTAACCCACCGACCCACCCAGGTGTCCTTACAAGTCTGTTCCTTATCTCCAGCAAGGCTGTTAAAAGCTTTAGAGTAGAGACTAGTACCACTGTGTCCAGCACCTAGGACAGCACAGGAAGTCTCTTTTTCTACCATTTGATTCCTTGGTATCCTTTCTATCCTTCCCCACTGAGCCAATGCCATTGTCCAGCTCCCACTTAAATCTGCTGGTATGATTTCAATGGCAATAATGGAAAATTCCAAGTCGGATGATTTTAAAATGTGGAAATTTATTACCTTGCATCTAAGCCCAAGAGTGGGCCACTTTGGAGTTGGCTAATTCAACAACTCAGCAATGTCACAAAAAATCCTGACTCCATCGTTCTGATCTGCAGCCGTCGGCATATTGGTTTAGCAACTCTCATGGTCACAAGATGGCTGATGCCCCTCAGCCATCTTCCAGCATTGCTTCCAAACATGACAACATTCAATGGTAGGAGAGGAAGGCCTCTCTTCCTGTAGGTTTACTATTACTACTCCGGAAACCTTTCCCAGAATCTCCCTAGCACACTTCCTTTCACATCTCAGTGGCTGGAATTTCATCATGCTTATATAACTGCACCAGTCACTGGCAAGAGGGATGAAATGGCCATGACTGGCTTAGGAAATGGAGATTCTGCCCATAAGAATGAAGGGGGAGGTGGCTGGTGAGTTGACAAACAATTCTGTCTGCTACAACCCTTTATTGAATAACCCTTTCTTTCCTCACTTTGAGATCTGATCATCACTTCCCAACTGGAAGGCCCAGGTGGGAAAAATCACTGGGATGTGCAAGTGAGGTGGGTAAAGACCTGAAAATACATCTCTCTTCAATATAACACAGAGGCCAGAAGCTCCATAATTAGAGATGTATTCCTTTGCCTTCTTACTCTTGCTCTCTCAGAAAATGCAAACACCTTCTTTTTCCAGTTTCTATTTAAATTCCTGTTAGTTAACATATAGTATAATATTAGTTTCAGGTATACAATTTAGTGATTCACCATTTCCATATAACACA